CAAATATGTATCATTTCAAAGAGCCATATTTAGATCGTTTCTAATGTATCGAATGTTGTAGCTTCCTACAAATTTTTCCTTGAGAAAAAATTTAGTCAGAATCGTAGCTTTCAGGAGAATTAAGCGAAATGAAATTATTAAACAATATTTCTAGCATAATAAGAAATCGATTTTTAATCACCATTTCTAATATACAATTTTCAACTAGTTAAATTAACTTTTATTTTATCGATTTTCTCATGCTTTCAACAAATATACCTCTTTTTGTTTACATATAGACATTACTTTTGCTTACATTTTTCACTTGTTATTACCTATTCACAAAATCCTTTGAATTCCGCAATTAAAGCATCCCAATGCAACAAACAACGAACAGACAAATCCAGAAATCGTCGTAAGTAGAATACGAACGTTCCTTCGAAAGAAGGAACGAAGAAAGAAGTTTCGAGCTGCGAGATGGTTAAAGTCGTGTGTCCTTCGATATTAAAGAACTACCAGCGAACATACGGCAGCGAAAAGACGAGAGAAAAGGGAGAATGGATCCCTTCTAGATAGATAGGTGTGGTCACTGTCAGGAGGGTTGACAAAGGCTGACCAGGGGTAGGAACATTCAAATGGTAATCGGCGCCCGTCTAACATACACCGATCCTCCGACCCCCGTGATCGCGCTTAAGGGGGTGCTCGCACCCCCTTGGCATACACCCTGCACATTCGCACCAGAATCAAACCAAATATTGGCAATATCATCCCTGGCATTGCTCTCCGCGACCTGCCTCCTACACTCGCTGGGAAACGATGTCCATTTGAATGCACGATTCCATTACCGGCGTCGATATATCGGCTTCAGGATATTATGGGATTAGGATTTCAAGGGAAACCTGAAAGAATACTACGAAACTCGGTCACGTGAAGATACGACAAGCTGCTGCAATTTAACAATGGCACTGATTCCAACTCACTGCTGTTTTTAGTCGAACTTATTGTTATTTAAACGATTTGCTTGGGATTTTATGAGATTGATATTTTTCGAACGATTGGATAATTTGATTTTTGAAGGTTTCTAGTGGTTTGGATTATATTTGGGTAACGTTTTGAAGAAATATGACTTTTATTCGTTTTTTTTTTCGTTATGGTAATTAATAATTGTATTTGGACAGTAATTATATGTTGCATACGTTTTGAAGGGCAAACGTTTGCATACGTTTTCCTTCAATTTCTTTAACCTCATGAGACTTTCGAGGCTTTCATCTTTCAACATTTAAATTCAACAGTTACCTTCATCAGAGTATTCCTTAACCCTTTCGTGACCGAATTATTCTTCCAAGAATTCCCCGTTCATCTATCAATGATCGCCTCTGTAACGAATACCAAACTGACACCAATTTTTCCCTACTCAAGTAGAACATACGCGTTCCGCTGGTCATAGAAGGGTTAATCTCGCCAATAAAAATCAGAAGATCTTCTACGAAATAATCTCGAAAGCAAACTCTCGATACTCCTTCCTCGCCGTAGTCGCAAGTAGATAAACTTAGCAACGCTCCAATAACTATCGTCACCTTGCAAAGTACACGGTCATTCGACAACTTCGGTTATCGTTCTTCCATTTAAATGGCTGCTTATTATCTTGATCGCGCGCCATTACCGGAGATCAGATCGTCGGAACAATTATCTCGTAAAACGGTTGGCAAGGGTTTGCCGTTCGTATTCACGAGTAGCTCCGTGATTCGCGATCGGTGTTGATTCAGCGCGTTGAACGTCGCACGTGCACCGATGTAGACGTACGCAAAGCTCCCGCAACCCGAACTTCAGCACGCGCCACGATTATGCGATTACGCGATTACGCGTGTCGGTTCCTGTACAGTGGTCGGCCTGTCGAAGAAGAGGTCCGTGGGTAATATCACGCGGACGACCAGTGACGTGCAACATTCTTTCGTTGCCTTCAAACAACCCCTAGTTTTGCTCGCTGGCAGTAAGCACAATTGTCGTTGAAAAGAAATTCCTCAAGTTCGATTTCTTCGTTTCGACTCGGCGAATTTAATTTTTACTTTTAACACCGTTCACTTATAACGACATTCGAGTGAAAATTATAAAGGCGAGAACACTTGTTTCTCATTTAAAATTGTCTTTGCTTTTTTTTGTTTTTTTTTAAATATGTTATACTGGTGTGTATTACATTGAAAATCATTTACTTTATTGTTTTAATTGTAGGTAGAATGCATGGAATTTTGTAACTAGTTGAAACAGTCGAATTTTCATGTGCATGAATTATTTGCTAGGGTAAAAATAATGTTAAAAATTAAAAATACTGTTAATTTATTAAAAAGTTAATCAGCGAACGGGTTAAAGGGTATATTTAAATAGAGAACTAAAAATGACGAGATTGTGTTTGTAAAATTTGAATAAACTCACTGATTGTCTAATTTTCTTCATTTATTAAGAACGGTTGCTGGATTTCATATTTCAGATTGTTCACTGTGAATATTTCCAGTCGTATTGCACAAGAATTTATAAAAAACAATTACAGAGTAAACATTCTTCACATTCGTATCTTATACAGAGACAATTATTCCATATATGCTAAAGAAATTCAAAAAATTACATTTTAATATGTTAATTAATGTTTTTATTCACTTCAGCGCAGAATATCGTAAATGCATTATTCACTGTTACATTAAACGCATGGATTTTCCGCGTTAATTTCGTTTCATTGATTTTCCTCTTGAAAATTGTGAAATAAATACCATCGTATCTCAATGAACTCGTTCAATTAAAAGAAAAATTTCTGCGATTTCACTTTCATTTTACTTTTATCTGTAAAACATACCGTTTCACTTTGCCCGCTCGTTTTTTCTTGTACACGTAATAAAAATGTTAACAAGTAAACAAATAAATATAGTGTTATGGTACGAATGAAGGTTATGGTATCAAACTACCCCTGAATTTCTAGGTGATACCATAAATCACGGGTAGCGTTATAGCACAATGGATCGCATTTTTCGCGGATAGTTGAGGAACATTTAAAATCGCATAACGCGTACACGCGCATCGCCCTGTGAACCAGCGAGCAGCAAGAATTAAGGGAGGTAGGAGTGATACGTAGTGGCGGCACGAGTCGACACGTGGCACTGCCGCTTTATACAAACAGCATTATGCACGCTCGTGCTAACATAAATTACTGCGGGTTTAATATTGGACGTCGACGTTGGCCATGGCCGACCACCTCCTGAGCAAAACACGATAAATGCGGCCAACCGAGTACACTCTACCGCAATACGAACTTCCTTCGATTCTTTCGAATCTCAGGTGTTCCCTGTTTAACATCTGATCATTGTGAAATACGTGAAAAGATCAGTTTTGGGAGTAGGACGTCGATGGAATAAACTTTATTGTTAGTTAAAGTTAGTTTATGGTAGAAGTTCGATTTGTGGAATCTACAGTGTGCGAGTGATATATCTGAGAACGTGCAAATATCTCGAAAAATATTTGAGATAAAAATTGTAGAGTACCAAGGGGCACATATGTATGTAAAGGATTTTTTTTTTAATATAAATGATGAAGTTTACTTTCTGAATTTCTGTGTTATGTTTTACCAGAAATTGGAATTCGATGTTGGAGTCCAAATTCAACCCATTATTTAGGAATCTTTTTCACTGCAAATAATAAAGTTTACTTTCTGAGTTTCCGTATTATGTTTCACCCAAAAACTGGAGACGTCGTATTTGTTAAATCTTAAGAGTATAAATAAATTCCCGCCGTTTCTTCTCGAAGATACGTCTATTAATACGATAAAAGAAACGACGTAACAATATCACACTTAACTGTGCAAATCATCTTGAAAATCGTTTCATTCGACGTAGTAATTCAGTGAAAAGCGTCGCGTATCCGCGTAAGCTAATGGACGGGAGAATTTAAATAATCACTGCATCGAGCACGGTACAAACAGCTGACTACTTAAATGTAAATGAAGACAGAAAAGCGGTCGTATATGAATGGCGGCATTCGGGGAAAATCTCGGTTAAATTTCACAATAAGCTCTTTCACGGCTCCTAAACGTGAAAGCGCTTGTAAGCGACTTTGGGGAGCCTTACGAGACGCCCTTGGAAAGCAGCCTGAGCGACTGTAAAGGCGAGAATGAACGAAAGGAGGGAATGAAACGGCCTCGATAAGTGGACACCCTGTGGAGAATGACGGAATGCAGACCGCCTGCATGAATTAAAGAGCCGTTTATGAATGGATCCGGATCAGAATCGAAATTCCTCGGAGTAAAATGTTTCGGGGGTGGCTGACCTGTTAGATAGCAGACGCGTTCTCTGATCTTTCAGAATAGGAAATCCAAACCTAACCGGATGTTAATCCTTGAACGTGACTGTTTGGAGATATCGATGAGAAGAGTAGCAGATGAAGCGATTTTCAAGATACACACAAATTTTCATCGCTATTTTTTTAAGAGAACCTGAACAATCTTTTGTTTCTCTCGTACATCAATTTATCCTATTTATGTCAAAAATGAGAAGACAGGAGAAAATGCGACTGTGTGCAGTTATTTATTTCGAAAAATAATTTAAGAAAAGCATGATAATTTTCAAGTGTACCTTTTACCAGGTGTTAGCGATCCTCTATCCAAATTTACTTTGACAAATTGAAATTGTTTCATTGATAAGATTGTAAGTTTCTACAAGTGCTGGAATAAAGTAGATTACGCTATCAAATCTCGATGTAAAATATCAACGGCTAATGAAACTTGAAAATTTGTTAATCTTTTACTTTAATTCATATCTTTATTGGAATAGTACCCTCAAAAAACGTCAAGATAAATATCACTTTCTTCGCCGGCATACTTCACGTCAATAGCGCACAAAATAGGTTCTTCTGTTTCGTATGCATTAAATAAGTGTATCTATTTTTTTGCAACGATGTGTAATGCAAAATAAATAACAGGTTATTTTATATCGTACGCGTTTCACTACAAATTCAGAGGTGTCTACAGTTACAGGTCTGTTAAAATGGGAGAACTGACTTGTATTCGAAATCCTTATCCTCTGCCGGATATAGTTCGTGAAGGATTGTGGATACGACGACCTGTGCTAGGTAATAAAGTTTCGGCGAAGGATAAAGACTGGAGTACCAAGTTAAAAGCTCACGAACGTCTCTTTGCACATCATACGCTAAATAGTATACGGAAAGATCATAGGCTTCTGAGGCCGCAGGTAATAACGTGCGTTAACCTAAAACTTTTACCGTTATTTCTCCTTTTCATCTTCTAACTTCAATCTCTTCCTATACTTTTTATCGCGGAATTACAAAATTACGTTTCAGTAGAAGATAAGAATATTTAGTAAGTACATATTTTTAAACTGGAAGTAAGAAAGAGTATTTGTCGAATATTAATCGCAAGCTTCATTTAGTGGACTGTGAATATTTATGCAATGATCTATGAATTAGTGTTAATTCTAACTTTAATCTTATATATTTTGCATATTTTTATATTTTCGGACGTGGGAGATTTTTTAATTTGCATTCGATTGCATATTGAAAACTGAGCATAAAAATTAATTACCATTCAAGATAACTTATTTCTTAAATATTTCACTTTCCATTGGAATATCGTGCAAAAAGAATTTTTTTAATTTCTATAATCTCTGAATTTTAACTAAAAAGTGTGTAATATATTTATTATTTCTAGGTACCAGGAGATGCTCTTGATTTAGCACTCACCACTGTGTATGTTCACAGTAAAGACTCACTGGTGCCCAAATCGTACATCCCTATGCAACCTGAAACGTTAGGAAAGAGAACTTGGCGCGTTTTAAAAAATAAAATCGAGGTGAAGTATAATAAAATATAACAATGATCTGTTGTTATAAAATTTGTTCTTTCCTCTGTTTGTTTTTTTCTTTTTCTCTCACTTCGACAGTAGTAACTCGAGTAATTTTCTGAAAATAACAATTTCTAAATATAATTTCGAATAACATGTGTATTCATTTTCAATTGGTTTGTAAGATTTACAAGGGTCCAGAAATTCCCGACGATGACGCAGACGATCCTCTGGCGATGTTTGTAAAGAAAACGGAGTGCTTCCGTGGCCCATTGCCAGAGAGACGAGTCCATCCGAGTAGCCTGAAATTAAATATCACCGGACCTCATTCGGTTCAATCTAATCCCGGATACAGTCGTAAAATCGACGGAACTTTTTACAGTATTTAAACAGTATTTAAACACGGATCTGTACGGTGTTTGAGGTGAAAACCCGGGCGGCAAGCAAAGCTGTGCTAACAATCGTATTTGAGGAAATTAAATCAACGATTTTATGATTATCATCCGCACCGTCAATCGCCTCTCTCTATGTTTATGAATACGTTTCATTTTCGAGTCATTCCGCCGATAAATCTACACGTTCGTTTTTAATTAATGTGCTACTTCGGTCGCTTCGTTATTTTATGGTATTAATATTTGAAAGTAGCAAGTGTAGCAGAATGTTTCAGCTGTAAGTACAATTTTATTTTCATATATACACACGTAATATATATTTTTATGTTTCTAGATCGTTTAGATTCGTATGTGTGCTGTTTTGTGAAATGTAATAGGGCAATAAAGATTGTGAGATGTAATTACAAATTCTTTTGGAAAATGTGAAATCTTTGTTTTTCCTTTACTTTAAGTTTATTGTAGAAATTAATTTCTAATTAATCTAATTAATTTTTAATTAATTAATTTCTGACATTTTTATGACAATTGGTTTCTTACTTTTTAATTATTTATGATATTATACTTGATACTTTTACGTTTTCGCATTTAGCGATAGCTATATTAACCACTCGAGGACATATTTATCCTCGTATATTATGAAAAATTATGTATATTTAAGAAAAATGTAGTTTCGGTATGATTAATTTTAAGAAAATATTAAAACAATCTACTTGTGCCTTAAGAACTAACAAAAGCTATACATAGCGTCAGTTTATGTGAACTTTTGTTACCCGAACTCAGATTGCAAAAACGTTTGTTTCACATACTAATATCCTTTTTAATTTCAAACATTTCAAATATTTACAGTCCCACGTTAAAACCTAAAATGTCGCAACATTCGTCTCGACACAGAATGGTAAAGGGTTAACCCTTTACTTCCAATTTCTTTCGAAATGCAGCATCTCACCGGAGATGCTCCAAAACTCACAAACACTCGTCCCAATAAGCACCCTTCGTCCTCGATACCCCCGTAAAACCGATCATATCGGATCCGAACATGTTGACAAATTTGTTCGGTAGATATCAGTTGACACCGTAATGCAGTGTCTCTGGAATCTTGGTAGCGATCTCCCGCTTGCAGCCTCCCTTCAGACAGTGCTCTGACGAGGAACGAAACGAAAGCGTGAGTCAGTGCACAGTACGTTCTCACTGTCGAGCAACCGAAGGGACAGAATGTCCCATTACCCGAGTAATCCTTGTTTGTAATAAACCAGCACCCTGCTGCCAGGGGGGTGTCCTCCACCCTCGCCGCATAACGTCGCGGAGGTGGAGCCATCTCCGTACGCATATGCTCCTCATGGAATATCATTTATGTTTCACCCTGTGCAGACGTCTATCTTGCCGCCCCTTCCTCTCCGTTTGACCTGCTCAACCCCTCTGGCACCCTCTTCCAGTAGGCAGAGCCCGATCCTTATACATACGCCTAATCCGGCCATGATTGCCGCACCGACCGTCTCGTCACGAAAACTCCACCTCACCTCTCCTATCCGCGCACCCTTTTTCGTTTTTTCTTTTTCTTTTCAACCCACCACCAATCCCCTTATCTTTTTAACGACATTGGAAGGTGAATTGAAGGTAAACGGGCCGCGAGATTATTGTTTCGCGAGAGATTCTTAAGGGTTGGTCCCGTTGGAATTGGGTAAATGTGAGGTTCGAGGAGACCCAGATCCAAGGGAAATTTAAGAGTGTTGGTATTCGAGGGTACTGTGATTTTTCAACCCTTTTGTGACGAATAGACACTATAGTGGTCAGTATATTGTTTAACTCTTTCATGAATCGGTGCTATATAATTTATCTAATTGTCCACGAATATTGCGTTATTTCTGATTTTAATGTATGTGTTTGAACGTCACTTATTTATTGCAAATGTATTAACGCTTTACAGACGAAGCATCGATAATGTGTACGAATTGCCGCTATAATGGCCGCTAGACTTATTAAGTGTATTAATTTTATATTACAGCAAAAAATATGAAAGAAATAGAAATACATGTAGCGATAAGTTTGAAGCAGTTTATGTTTCTGTTCTCTTTATTTTTGCAAAGGTAATCGTTATTTACATCGTTCGGCAAACATTATTCTTCGGCGATGAATCAAATAATACTCCTCGTGAATTACATCACGTCGAACGTCTATCGATGCGGATCCTTTTTCTTTCTCGGTTAGGGGAGCACAGAAAGTGGCGGGAATAAGGGTGGAGCGATCTGAGACCGTGGTGGGTAACGAGCGAGGTAACCAGCCAATTACTTGGCTGAGCGGTTTTATTTGTATTTAATTCTTATTTAATTTACTTTTTACGGCCGCCTTCGTCGAGGCTCCGTTAACGAAATGGAAGATTTCAACGTCATTGCAAATTCACAGAATCGTAGCACGGTGCACCGAACGTAATTAAATTTAAACGAATATAATAAACTGTCTCTGGAGAGACTTTGTAACGTTGCATTGTAATTCTCGGGTTAACAAAACGGTCGTAAAGATTCGTCGAAACTTGAACTTTAATTAGCAGTAAAACTGAAACTCTAACTAAACGAAGAAAGCAGAAAGAAAAGAATAAAAGAATTTTTAAGACAAATTCTACATTGTACAGGCTGTGATGTAATAATCGAATACGTTTGACGAATAACACGGTAACAGAAACAATGATCGATTTACTATCTTCCCGATTCCCGCGCGCATACGTTTACTCGAAAGGAAATTCCGCGTAAAAGTCGCAGCAAAGTCTCATTGATCCCTCTGGGATGAAGTTGTTATTCCAGTGAACTTGTTACGTTATATTTATCAGCGCGGTGCACACTGCCACCACCCGTCGAGCTTTATCGTTCCTTTCGGTCCCATTTTTGCTCCCTCGACTTTATTCACCTACGTACTGTCAAGACAAAGCCGCAAACGACGTTATAAAGGACAGCCAGAAATAGGCTGTATTAAACGAATGATGCGAGTGATTTTTCTTGACGTTTTACATTTCTGCACACGGAAACTATGGAAAACGATTTGTAACAATTCGCTAGTATAAATTTCGTAGATACGCATTGACAATTGTAATTTCTCAAGACGTGGGATATTAAATTTCCTCGAAATTCGCTCGAGGCTGTAAATAATTGCATTTTTTCAAAGATTAAATGTTATTAAATGTTATTAACAATTTTTGTGGAGTTTTAAATTCCCCGCCTTAAATTCGTAAGCTGACCAGCGTCTTTTATTTCACGCTTTTCCTTTATCAATACATAATCAAGTACAGTATATTCTCCACAAGTGTCAGACCGCAAGGAAGCTAAACCTGACACTCGTAGAGTCAGGGACTACGTTTTCGAGCCTCGCGCCCGCCTTTGTAGTTTGCCGAACGTAGACAAGGACATCGAATAAAAGAAAAACATGAAAAGTGAATCGAGGCAAACAAGCGATTTAAATACCAATTTTTTTAATTTTACGTTTCTTTATCCCGAAATTTTTCTTAACATATTGATGAGATTTTTCTGATGAAAATGACACAAAACACGACATAATTTGAGCAACATTTACTTATTAACACGTTCACTGTCACGCCAGATTTACAGGTTGCTGTCAGGCGGCCAAAATTCTGGTATATATTCCGAAAACCGATTTTTAATAGCGAAACACTACTGAGACGGTTTAATTTGGGGCAGCCAGCTCATATTTGAGCTGGCATTACACAACACAACTAACTACTAAACCAAATCGCCAGAAAAATTTTCAATATTATTATTGAAGTAAACTTTCGTAGAACGAGAGTGAAAAATTGAAAGAATCAAAAGAAAAAACGCGAATTCGTATCTTTTTCGATTCTAGAATATAAGAAAATTTGAATAAAATACGCGACGAGAATTGGGGAGAAGCATAAGTTAAACGCGTAAAAATATTCAATAATAAACGAACTAGAAATGAAGCTGTTATTTCAATACGCGATGCACTGACTCTAGTATTTACTAAAATTCAAAAATTCTCGCATAAATTCCAAAAATAGATTATTAATTACGGTAAACTACTGAGACGGTTTAATTAAGGGTGGGCATGGTGCTGCTTTAGTTTGAAATGATTTATAAACACATAATTAACAGAGGAAAAACCGTGAAACGGCAAAACGTCTACATTCTAATTGTTATAACATGTAAACAAAACTTTAAATTTAGTGTAAACAGAAAAAATATATAATACAATTTATTTCACGGTATTGCAACAAATAAACGTTGAATCAATATTTAATTCGTATAAAAACAATTATTTAACGTAATAATTTTACCTTCACTATGGCTATTTTTAATCTACGACCACAGGTCAACCTGATATCTAATCCTTACGAACTTTAAATTCAGTCTAAACTGAGAAAATATATAATACAATTTATTTCACGGTATTGCAACAAATAAACGTTGAATAAATATTTAATTCGTATAAAAACAATTATTTAACGTAATAATTTTACCTTCACTATGGCTATTTTTAATCTACGACCACAGGTCAACCTGATTTCTAATCCTTACGAACTTTAAATTCAGTCTAAACTGAGAAAATATATAATACAATTTATTTCACGGTATTGCAACAAACAAACGTTGAATAGATTCTTAATTCGTATAGAAACATTTATTTAAAATAATAATTTCACCTTCACTATGGCTATTTTAAATTTACGACCAAGGGTCAACCTGATTTTTAATCCTCCGAACTTGATTTCACAACGAGAAAGTAATAAGATCGTTGAAACGTACTTATTTGTCAAAGAAACTTGCAAAAATGTATAAATAATAATATGTAATGTTTTAACAAATTTTTGGAAGTATAAATTAATAATAAAATTGTGAAAATTAATAAATTATACGTTATTATAACATTAATAGAATTATGACTAAACCGAAGTTCGAAGTCGAGTATTTAAAGTCTGATATTACGTGCCTAGCGAGTGCCGGTAATTGTTAAAATTTGTTTAATAATTAGTAATA